CCTTCTCTGGGGTCCCTGCTTTCTTCTGATCTCCAGACTCTTCCTTCTTGGCCTCCCCTGCAGAGTCCTTGGGCTTTTCTACGGGGGTTTCCTTCTTCTCCTCCACCTTGGCCTGTGGGGCCTCCTTCTTGGGTGGTTCGTCTTTCTTGCTCGCCTTCTCCTCTGTTTTTGGTGGAGCAGGGGTCTTCTCTTCCTCTGCTTTCTTTGGGGGTTCTTTAGCTTTCACGTCCTCCTTCACAGGGGACCTCACCTCTTCCTTCTTGGGAACTTCCTTCTCAGGGGACTTGGCCTTCTCGGGGGACTTGACCTCCTCCTTGGCAGGACTTTTGGCCTGCTCGGGAGATTTGATGTCTGTGGGGGACTTTGTTTCCTCCTTCACTGGAGTCTTGGCTTCTGGAGATTTCACATCTAGAGTCTTGGCCTTCTCAGGGGACTTTGATTCCTCCTTCACTGGGCTCTTAGCCTTCTCAGGGGATTTCACCTCAGCTGGAGGCTTGACCTCTTCCTTCACAGGGGACTTGGCCTTCTCAGGAGACTTAACCTCTGCTGGTGATTTTGCCTCTTCCTTCTCCGGGGACTTGGCTTGGGCTGGAGATGGTGCTTCTTCCTTGACTGGGGACTTGGCCTTCTCTGGAGATTTTACTTCAGCTGGGGACTTCACTTCTTCCTTCACAGGGGTCTTGGCCTTCTCAGGTGATTTTACCTCAGCTGGTGACTTGGCTTCAGCTGGAGATTTTACCTCAGCAGGTGATTTTACCTCAGCTGGTGACTTGGCCTCAGCTGGTGACTTGGCCGCAGTTGGTGACTTGGCCTCAGCTGGGGACTTGGCCTCAGCTGGGGACTTGGCCTCAGCTGGTGACTTGGCCTCAGCTGGAGATTTTACCTCAGCAGGTGACTTTACCTCAGCTGGTGACTTGGCCTCAGCTGGAGATTTTACCTCAGCAGGTGATTTTACCTCAGCTGGTGACTTGGCCTCAGCTGGAGATTTTACCTCAGCTGGAGATTTTACCTCAGCTGGAGATTTTACCTCAGCTGGGGACTTGGCCTCTTCCTTCACAGGAGGTTTGGTTTCCTTTTCTGGAGATGCGGCCTCTTCCGCAGGGGGAGAGGTGACTTCTTCTTCTCCTCCCTCTTCAGTCTTTTCCTCGCCTTCTTCCTCCTCCTCTTTGGCCTCTTTTTCCTCCTCTTCCGTCACTTCTTCAGTCACCTGGATCTCTTCTGTCTGCTCCTCCACAATCACGGTTTCCTTCTCTGACTTTTCTACCACTTTTATCTTCTCTTCGCTCTTGACTTTTATGTGAGTGGCTGTGGAAGGAATCTTCGGGAGTCCCTCGGTCAGAGAGAAGGGACTTGGACCAAAGCCAATGCGACACTCTTCGCCTTCCAGGAGCTTTCTGCAGAATGGATAATGAGACACACCATTAACGCAGAGCAGATGTGCAGGTCTGGAATCTTCCTTGGTTTTCCGGAAGCCCCACTGCATTCAGTGACAGGCTTGGGTGAATGGGAGGAATTTCATTTGCTTTCCCTTTCTTTTTTTCTTCTTTCCTTCCTCTCTCCTTCCCTATTGCTCTCTCTTTGCTTATTGCTGCTGCTGAGGACTGAGTCATGCTAAGCACACACCCTCCACGGGGTCACAGCCTCAGCAGCAAGCACTTTGAGAATGGAGAAAGTTACTTTAACAAAGCGTTCCGGTGACCGCCCACGGAGCCTGACCCTCAGGGGACTGCACTGCTGTTTATGGGAGGAACCATCTCCCTAAAGAATGGTCCTCAATAGAAAAGTCCTACATTGATAAACGTACACTTACTGTCTCTCAACTAAAACCTAATTCAAGAGAAAGTTGGAGGGTTGGGGGTATGGCTCTGTGGCATATTGCTGGTCCAGTATGTATGAGGTACTGGGTTTGGAAAAAGAGAGATGTGACTAGACTACCAAAAATTGTGCGTAACCTCTACATACACACTGTGCACACACACACACACACACACACACACACACACTAAAATGAAAAATAAATCCCTCCCATGTCTGAAAGAGAAAAGCTGAGGATAAATGAGCCCATACTTAGAAATTTAGTTTGAGAGGTCTTAAATATTGCCATCTAGAGCTGTCCTGGCACCTTTCACAGCCAGCCTTTGGGATTTCTCCTCTCACTTAGCTTCTCACTAGATGGCGACCTTATCTAAGCTACCCAGACCCTTAAGGCCTTACTTTCTCATTGGTAGAGAGGTGACCTCCAGAGTCCTCACCTCAGAAGGCTGTTTCTGTGAGATAAGGAGTATTAAGGGCTTGGCAGAGCCCCAGCTTAGAGAAGTATGGGGGTTTCCCCTAGAGCACTGTTATCCAAATCTAACAGCTGACAAATTACCCTGGCTCCCATTAAACTACAGATCTCAATCCAGCAGCCTGGGGCAGGGCCTTGGCCGGTCTGACTCAAGCATCACTCTGGCTCCTGGCTAGTGCACTGCACTGAGCAGAAGGTTAGACCAGAGCCAAGGTCACCAGCCAGGAGCGGCCTTCCTGACGTCAGCCCTGCTAGACTGGGGGCGCTCATCTTTGGGATTGGTCTTCTCATGGCTACCATTCCGTGAGCACTGTGACTGCCCAGAAGAACCTGTGTCGGCTGGATTTTCCTGTGAACAAGACTGGCTGAGCCTCCCGACAACCCATGGATGGCATGCATGCTGTTTCTGCATCCCCCACTCATTTTTGCAGGCCTAGTGAGCTAAGGATGGGCTTATAATGGTCCCCGACTACCTGAGCACCTCTTCCTCCAAAGCAAGTCTCTGACTAGCTGGGTTCGGGGTAGATACAGTCAGAAAGAAAACAAGTCACTCTTGGGCCAATGAGATAGCTCAGAGATAGCACACCTACCATTGAGCCCGAGGACTTGGTAAGTTTTATACCCAGGACCCACATGGTGGGGGCAAAACACCAACTCTCCAAACTATCTTCTGACCTCCATATGTGTGTGCATGCAAACACACACACACACACACCCTCTAACCTCCATGTGTGTGCGTGCAGGCACACATACACAAATAAATAAATAAAATGCAATTAAAAGAAAAGAAGTCAGCTTCAAGATCTCTGCCTCTTGGGAAGTAGACTACTTCTCAGGGGCTGAGGGCAGGGACAATGAGGAGTCTTGTACGGGGTATGCAGTTTGAGTTTGGATGGTGAAAACAGCTCTGGGAATGGATAGAGGTGAGTGCTGCATATGCAAATGTACTTAACACCACCGAACTGTTTATTTACAATGGTTAAATGGATGCTGGGTGGCAGTGGTGGTGGTGGTGGTGCACACCTTTAATCCCAGCATTTGAGAAGCAGGGACAGGTGGATCTCTGTGAGTTTGAGGCCAGCCTGGTCTACAGAGTGAGTTCCAGGACAGGCTCCAAAGCTACAGAGAAACTCTGTCTTGAAAAAAAAAAAAAAAAGGTTAAATGGTAAATTTTAAGATATGGATTTTTGTTTGTTTGTTTTTGATTTTCTGAGACAGGGTTTCTCTTTGTAACAGCCCTGGCTGTCCTGGAACTCGCTCTGTAGACCAGGCTGGCCTCAAACTCACAGAGATCCACCTGCCTCTGCTAGCCAAGTGCTGGGATTAAAGGCGTGTGCCGCCGCCGCCGCCGCCCAGCAAGATACGAATTTCACAACATTTTTCTTATTTTAGTGTGTGTGTACATGGGTGTGGATACATGTGTGCATGCACTGTTATGGACAACAGGACATCAGGAATTAGTTCTCTTTCTGTAGTAGATTCTGGTGATCAAACTTAGGCCTCAGACTTGTATAGCAAGTGCCTTTACCACTGAACCATCTTGCCTATCATATATCATTAAAATGTATTTTACTAGAATTAAGACTGGAGGGATAGCTGAGCCGTTAAAGGTTCAGGCTCACAACTGAAATACTTTGGGCTGGAAAGATGGCCATGGGGGTAGTGATGCCTGATGCACAAGCCTGAAGGCCTGACTCCAATCCCAGAACCACATGAAGGTGGAAGAAGAGAAGAGACCCTACAAAGTTGTCCTCTGCCTCCACACATGCACCACAGCGTGTATGCGTGCACACACACACACACACACACACACACACACACACACACACACTAATCAAAAATGAAAATAAACAGAAATACTTATGTTTTAGGTAGGCTGTGGTAGTGCACACCTTTAATCCTAACACTTGGGAGGCAGAGGTAGATGGTCTCCACGAGTTAGAGAGCAGCCTGGTCTACATAGTGAGTTCAAAGCCAGACAGGGCCACATAGTAACATCTGTTTAAAAAACAAGACAAAATAAAAACCAAAAGACTTCTGTCTCTAAAGAGTAGCGGGCTACCTAAACACAACTTGAAACTGAAGGCTCACTACTTCATGGGAACATGGAGTTCTATGCAGCCTCAAG